GGTCAGGTCTCTGAGGATCTGCTGGACCTGGGTCAGGTCTCTGTTCTGATCCTCCTCTCGTCTCCTGCCAGTGATGAGGGGCTCAGGTGTTGGCTGGCGTCTCAGCTGAAGGCTCTGTGTGGTTGGACGCCGCCGCAGGAAGAAGACGAGACCAAACGGGTCCAGCACCAGGTGTTGGCAGGTAGGAGAACACACGGGTCACTGGAACACTGAGAGGTTTAGTTCTGGTGTTTTTGTCAGTGAGCTTAGCTCCAACGTAGAATCCAGTTAAACGGCAACACGAAGCAGACTGACGAGGTTTCCTGTTAACGTTACACACAACGAGACGATCAGAGATCTCCAGGTGGCATCTTCTCATCTCATTCATCTCCCATCAAAGTTAACATCCGGCTTAGTTAATAATTAATAATATTTAGTTATAAAACACGTCAACCTGTCTGTCTACTTCAGAAGTGTGAGTAAAGTGCTCAACTATCAGTAAATATTCTGACTGTAAAATGTTATGAATGTAAAAATATCTAAAAATGTACTTGAAGCATCAGAAGCAGAAGAAAAGTGATAATGATTCTGTTCTCGTATGCAGGATGTTATCAGGGATTATATTCTGGATTACTTGTTTGGTTTGTAACCAGGAAGAGAGAAAATGTTCCAAATGTTTATGCTGTATGTTGAGTCAAAACCTTACCAATAAATCAGAATAATTAAAATGGGTTTAAAAATCTAATTAAAAAAAAAAACTATCACTCAATGTTTATATTTAGTTGTCTGTCAGTGTTTTCAGCTCCACTTGTTTTTACTCCTGATTTTAAATCCATAACAAAATGTTGTATTTTATAAGGACATTATGTGACGTGAAGGTTTAATCTGCATATTAATTAGTGTTCTCAGATAATTAAAGGGCAGTAACGAGTACAGTGTTGACCCCTGAGGAGCTCCATGAGGAGAAACCAATCTACACGTCTAGTTTAATCATCATGTTAATGTCTCACAGTTTACTGTCCGCCTACATTACTGCTCCATGTTGACGCTGCTGATCGAGGCTCTCTCTGTTTCAGCCGTGGTCGGCGTCTTGGTCGGATCAGGATTCGAGCGGAGCGATGATCCGGCGGCTGCTGATCGGAGGGTCTCACCGACCTGCTGCTCGGTGCTGGACGACATGCTCTTCTGTAAGCCATGAAACGTTCCCTCACACCTCTGGACCCTGAACGCTGTCTTCTACTTCTTTTGTCCTGCTTCCTAATGTCCTGTGGTTCTTCTTCAGGGCTTCTGGACGCCGTGGACACGAGTCTGAAGCTGCCGTCTGCTGGACCAGGACCAGGACCAGGACCAGAACTATGGTTCGGTTTTATTAGTCTTGTTTATTGTTATGTAGTCAGATCGTCCTGTTGAAACTCAGGACTGTCTGAAGGTAGATGGATGAGTGTAAACCTACAAGATGACATAAAACAGACTTTCAGATGCTACAGATAGTTTAAACTGGCCCATAAGAATAGTTTCCTCCTCCGTCTGACTTCCTGTCATCAGTTTAAAATACACAGTAAATGTGTTGCTGTTCAAATTAGTTGTTTCTGACCTCAAAGTGCAGCTAAAAGCCGAGCACAGCATGTTTCCTTGTGTCTGTGAGAGCCCTGAACAGCACTTCAACGTCAAATCATACAACATCTTATCATCTTACAGTCATTTCCTCATTTCCAAGTTGACAAATAGAATATTTCCTCTCATGAACAATCAAAAAACAAACAAACAAAACACTTCAGACAGACGCCCAAAGTAGAAACTCGATACAACGAAGGTGATCACACTGAGCACATCTGTGGTTTCACATCAGCTAAACTGCACGCAAATGTTGATAAAATGAGCTTTTAAAAGCTGACCAGGACCACCACAGTGGATGCATGGTCCTGACAGTGAAGCACGGAGGTGGAGCATCATGATGTGGGGCTGCATGAGGGCAGAAGGTGTTGATGATGTTTCTAGAAGCTCCATGAATGTCTGAGGATGAACCAGGATACTGGCTGACCAGATGAAGAAGAGGAACATTCCAGCAGGAGAACATCCAGAGAACAGCATCAAGAGTTTGCCGACCAGGACCAGCATGTTGGCTGACCTGAGTCCAAGAGAACATCTGTGGAGAACGTTAAAGAGTAAAGCAGAGAACACAGTTTGTTGGTTCATACTGAAAAACACAATCCATGTCAGCATATCTGGATCTGTTGGTGATTTCTGTGGGCTGAACCGAGCAGACATTCCTCCTGCTCTGACAGATGAGTCACATGAAGCCTGTGGCCTGACGGTTTCTACCTGTCTGGCAGCTCCAGCTGGACCAGCTGACAGCTCTACAGACGCTGGTCTGGTCCTGGAGAGGCTGAGCGGTGCACCTGGTGTCTACAATCATGTTGGCTTCAGTCGGCCTCCTTCACAGCTCTGAGTCCCACCTGCAGCAGAGAACTGGTCCTCTGAACATGGAGACGGTCCAGGAACCAGAACACTGGACCTAAGACAGAGATGGAGATTAAAGATCTGTTTTGGATCACAGGCTGTTTGCAGTGTGTTCTTGTATAACTGATGCTGTGTCTCACTCCTCTGCAGGATCCAGATGTTGGATGTGTCTCTGTGTGGAGCTTCAGCCTCAGCAGAAGCTCTTCAGCGGTTCTTCACCCACTGCCTCACTCAGACTCTCACCTACAGGCCTCGGCTGACAGGTAGAACCACTCTCAGGCCGTTCTTACAGCTTCTACCGGCTTCTCTTCATCGGTTTCAACCTGACAGTGTGCTGTAGTCTCAGCGTTGACCCTCGTCTGGTGAGAACAGCCCACCTGCCTGAAACATGAAGACGATGAGACTTAACCAGCGGTCACTTCCTGCCACGTTGAATGTGTTTAGAAGCAAATCCCTTGGACTCATGTTTAATGTGGTTTTGAAGTGTTTTGTGTGATGGGAACCTGAAACCAGCTCCCTGCTCCGTCCTCAGTGTCGGACGCCGTCGCCCAGCAGAACCAGTGGACCTTCGCCAGAGCCGGCCGCCTGCTGACGTCTCTGTACCGAAGGGTAAACGTCTCCTATCATCTGTAATGCATGCAGCCTTCTGGCACCTTCACACGCCGTTAATTAGATTAATGCATGCAGGACTCTATAGATGCACTGAACATATCTGGAGCTGGTCTCCTGTGATCTCAGGCTGCTGCTCTGCTTTGGGTTTAGTCAGTCAGACGTTCACAGATGGCTGCCAACGTCTGACTAACAGACGACTGTGAGCTGGCTGCTGATGTTCTGCTGCTTTTATAACATCAGAAGAACGTGAAACTCAGCGTCTTCATGTTAATTCTGTGTCTCAACCTCTTTCTCCTCCAGCAGCTGTTCAGGAGTTCAGTCAGTGTTGTAAAGACGCAAGTTGGTAGATTTAAAAACACTGATGTGGACATTATTTATAGTGTTGGCCATTCATTCATTCATTCATTCATTCATTCATGAAATATTTATTGCGAACAAAAATAAAATTAAAAACAAAACAAAAACAAGGGAAAAAATGTACAAACATATAAACGTATTAACTCCCATCCCCTCATCACCCAGTTCTATAACGCTGCTGTTGTTTTTGTCGTTGTCCTCGTTGTGGTTGTTGTTGTTGTTGTTGTTGTGGTTGTCGTCGTTGTGGTTGTTGTTGTTGTTGTTGTGGTTGTCGTCGTCGTCGTTGTTGTGGTGGTGACCCGTGTGTGTTGCTGTGCTCCTGAACCAGCTGGCTGTGATGTTCAGCGTGGAGCAGCTGCTGAACCACCTGCAGCAGGTTCTAGAAACCCACGAGGTCAACTGGAGGCTGGTGCTGTGCTTCGTCTCCACGCTGCTGGTTTACTCCCAGTCCGCCCAGTCCAGCCTCAGAGGTAACCACCAGAACCCAGAACCACAAGCACACCAGTATCCATCCATCATTTCCTGTGAACTCCAGTTCCTGCACCAGTGAACTAGTAGATTCGATGTACTGGGTTTCATGTGTGTGTTTGTGTGTTTGTGTAGAGCTGCTGTCCAGACTCCTGAGCTCAGCGTTTGAAGGCTACGACCTGGAGAACATGATCACGGCCTTCCTGTTGGCCCGGCAGGCCTCTCTGGAGGGAGCCGGGGTGTTCCCCTCCTACAGCGACTGGTTCAAGGTGTCGACTCTTTAGTCTGGAAGTTTGAATCTTCTCTGTGTCACGAGCAGCAGCTGTCTGCCACGCGTCATAAATAATTAAACTCTAATCATCTCAGAAGGTCTTTGTTTTACCAAAGATCCAGCTGATTTAAACCAAATCCTATATGTAAAAAGATGTTAATAATGTTAGTGCTAATTCAGTGTAAGAGCCTCGTACGGTAAAGTGATTAATGCAGAATTAGGTGTGTAACAGGTAGATAGGCAGGAAGACAGACGAGGCTTCACTGAGTTTAAGCTGCAGCCTCTCTGTTATTTCACACATTCCTGCTGGGTTCAGCGTCTGCTTCTCCTCCCAGATGTCGTTCGGCGGCGGCAGCAGTTACCACGCCAACAGCAAGAAGTCTCTGGTGTTCCTGCTGAAGTTCCTGTCGGACCTGGTGCCCTTTGAGCCTCCACAGTACCTCAAGGTGAATCCCACACGTCCTGGAGAACCTAAACATCTTTCACAGGCTGCAGCAGAACGTCTGAGGAACTGAGCCGGACTCTGCTGTGAGAGGGAGATCCCAGCCACAGGAGAAGCTGCTGCCTGTTCTGACACCAGCAACAGCAGCAGAACCATGTTGTTTTAGTGCGGTTAGTGGTTTCTAGCGCCTGAGTGTGGTTCTCACCTGACAGGTCCACATCCTGCATCCTCCCTACGTCCCTGTGAAGCATCGCAGCCTGCTGATGGAGTACGTCTCTCTGGCCAAGACCCGGCTGGCCGACCTCCAGGTGACAAACAGTCCATCCTCCGAGTAGTTTGTCGCCGTTATTAATCTGTGAAGAAAAAAAAACGGTGGAAATCTGGCAGCAGAGGGGCTGAAAAAATCTGTGAGAAAACGGTGTGATGCTGTGACATCGAAAAGCTGTCAAATAGCAGCAAATATCTGAGAAATAATGTGTTGTTGTTGATTTAAATACAGTAAAGCCTCCCAGTCACTAGCTACAAAAGACAAATGAGATTTATTCAAAACTTTTATTCACAGACATTTTATTTGACTAGTTATTATCTGTAATTTATTCATTATTCAGTACTTATACATAAATTAAATAACATATATTAATAATATTTATATAATATTAATACAAGTAAGATTTTTGTTTTGCAGTTTTGTCATTGGCAGACCACATTTAGATTTATACTATGCTAATAACAGTGATGCTAATAACATTTTTTGCTGCTTTAAATCCAGTAAAAATAGAAGATTTTTATAGTCAGATGTGTAAAAGAATAAATTACAGATTTTTATGTGCATATAATCAGTATTTTACTTGTTTTCTCTCCACAAACATGTAAATAAATCAGATTTTCTGTGTTTGTGCTTGTTGTTGCTGTAATTTAACAAAACAGAGAAAATCAGTAAAGTAAGAGCACGTTGTTTTGTAAAGACGTGGGGTTCCCTGAGTGCTGCTCAGCAGGTGGATGACTGAACACAGTCTGACCTGATGCTGGGTGTGTTTGTGTTGCAGGAGCCGGTGGAGGACATGGGTTTGTACCAGGACGCCTCTGCTGCAGCAGCACAGGTAACACTGACACACTGGGCTTGGCCTGGACTTTATTTGGTTTATTTTTTATTAATTAAATGTTTTATTAATTCTATATGTTTTCAGACCAAAGAGGTTTTTGTATTTTCACCTTCAAAACAACGTCTCATTAAGGGTTTAAACTCCCACAGCCATGACTCATGGACACAGACAGGATAGTTTCCTACAGATCCAAATGATCGAAACATGCCAGCCGAGGCCTGAATGTTCATCACTGGCTCTTAAAAATAGGAGCACAATGCTGAAACGTGATGAAGAGCCTCAGCTGGGAGAGCGTTAGACTGAAGATCTGAAGGTCCCTGGTTCAGTCCCGGGTTTAAGTAGATCACAGCTTCTCTTCTCTTCAGACTTTCCTCTAAGAGTCTCCATATGTATGGATCTGTCCATGTTTCCAGCTAAAACACAGCCACAGCATCTGGTGAGGACTAACAGTTTCTAGAAGATTCAGATGATTACATGACTCCAGCAGAGGACGATGTTTTAGATATAAAAACATATTTGAATATCAGACTTGCTCTCCGGATACCACCACACCCAGCCCTCATCATCAGTAACTATGTGCTATCATTATTCCATCTTTTATTAATTTAAACATGTATTTCAAAGCTTTAGGTTTATTTTAGCTGCATGTTGAATGAGTTGGGAGCCACAAACTAAATCAGACGTCTGCCTCAATATTAGTAATGACAATGGAACAAACAACCAAACAAATACAGGGAGAATAAATCATCTCTTCTGCTGTATATCACGCTATCACAGCTGTTTCCTTGTTATTGATGGTTTATGTGGAGCTGTCCTCCATTCAGGACCAGATGTGTTTGTAATGACAGACAGATGAAGCTAACTCCTCCAGTTTGTGTGAATCCTGCGCTAACAGCAGCCTGATGTCTGTGTGTGCAGCCTCAGTGTCAGGCCGCTCAGGACGTGGACAGAGCTGTGTCTCTGTTTCAGAGCACCGGCCGGATCTCAGCCACCGTCATGGAGGCCAGGTGAGCTTCACCACCCGATACTGGGCTCAGAAAGGACCGGACACTACCACAGAGACACAAAACTACCACAGAGAGCCACTAAATGACCACAAACAGACACAAAACAATGAGAGAGAAAGAGACGATCACTATAAAGAGAGAAAAAGACAACAAACAGACTCAACTGGACACAAAGCAGCTGCAAAGAAGAGACAGAAGTTAGGACAAAGAGACACAGAACAACCAAACAGAGGCAAGACTGACAACAACTAGACACAAGAAAAAGCACAGAGACAGAAACCAAGTGATAAAGACAAACTACACAACAATATAGAGACAAAACAACCACAAAGACACACTAAACAATGACAAAGAGAAAGAAAACAGCAGGAAGGAGGCACAAAACAACCACAGAGATACAAAACTTGACTGTAAGACACAAAACAATCACAAAGAGACACAACTGGCCATGGAGAGACACTAACCAACCACTAAACAAGACACAAAACAGACGACAACTAGACACAAAACATCTACCAAGAACAACAAGAAGAAAAAAGTCACAACAAAGAGACAAAACAACAGTAAGGAGACACAAAACAACCACATATAGGCTCAAAATAACAATAAACTGACATAAAATGACAACAAATAGACACAAAACTGCCACAAATAGACGGCAAATGAATCCAGAGAGACAAAAATACTGACAAAGAAACAGAAAACAACCACCGAGAGGCTCAAACCCAGCCCACAGCCAGAGAGCTTGTGTGTCCTGTGGTGTGTGAGTCCTTTCCTGTGTAGTTCTGTTACGTGTCAGCTCATTTCTAAACGCCTCGGCAGCGTCCGGAGGTCTTCAGCCGTCTGGTCCATGAACGTAGAACCAAACAAAGCTCTGCGTCTGCTTCCTCCTAGCATCTTCCGGAGGCCGTACTTCTTGACCCGGTTCCTTCCTGCTCTGCTGACGCCCAGGCTGGTGAGAAGCTCCGTCGGTTCTGGTTCTGTAGCTCCGTGCTCACGTTCTCAGCTAGAAACAGGCTCTTTGTTGCATCACGTTCATGAGTGTGTTTCACCTGCAGCTTCCTGTGAAGGCTGATGCTCGGATGAGCTTCATAGAGGCTCTGAAGAGGTGAGTGGTCCTCACAGCTCTGATCTCTGCAGTAACCTCAGACGGACTGGATCCTGTCATCACAGAGTTCATCAGCTGAAACTTCTGTGTTTTCTGTTTGTGATTGAGCTCAATAACCAGAGATGATGATTGTGTGTCTGTGTTCAGAGCAGATAAGATTCCTGCTGCACAGCATGCGTCCTACGTGGAGTCCTGTCACAAACAGAGGCAGCACAACCGTGAGTGCTCGTCATCCTACTGTGCTCGTTATTCACTCAAAACATGTGCTTTTATCTGTGGAGGAACCAAAACCGGACCTCCAGAGTCTCTGTAGTGCTTCCTGCTGTTTGTTTAAGTCGAGCTTTTCTTTCTGCCAGGACTTGATTCATGCAGATTCACAGTGAAACAGCTGAAGGTCCTGCAGCATCTGAAGCCAGCAGACACCTGATGTTGATTAGGTTTAGTGCCGTTAAACATTTAATCACTCACATTTAACACCAGACGGTTTCTGGAACTCTGTGTCTTTTCTCCAACTTGCTCCACAGTATTTGTTTAGATCTAAGTCTGCTGGATTACTGGTAGCAGCTGGATTGATTGAAGACGTTCCACCTCCATCCAGGAGGCTTCATCAGCTCTGACTGACTGGTTGGGAGTTCCACATACTGATATCCTGAAGGAGACGTTAACACCTGAGTTTTAATTGGGGGTCTGTTGCTCCTCTCCCTCGTTATGTGGGTCGTTAGTGCTCCCCCTGCCACAGTGGGGTTCGTTAGGGTCTTTGTGGCTCGGTGTGGATGTGGGTTCATCTTCCTGGGGGGAGATCTGAGGACTGAACAGGTGAGAGGTGATGCCTCAGACCTCCACCTCTGCTGACGGATGGTCTGTCCAGTTTCCAGTCAGTCTGTTCACAGACATGCAGACTTAATAGTGACCGATTGTTAAAAGAGAAATAAACTGAATTATGTTCAGACTGATGCTGTTTCTATCAGAACCCTCCGCCTGCCTCCAGCTGCAGGGTTCTGATCGGCACCATCCAGAACAGCCTGATCAGCCAGACCAGCATTCTTCCATCTGTCGTGCTGATTTTTATTTTTACGCTGCACCCTGCTGCTCCTCCAGGAACCAGAATAGCAGCGAGGGAGCACGTGGAGACGCCCACACATGGACATTTGTTCCTGTTCAGTTAAAGTCTGATCTGCCAGGCGGTTGATCGACAGATGACGTTGTGTTTTCAGGAGGTGCAGCGTGTTCGGTCGCCAGCGACGACCCTGTGGAGCTCCTGAAGGCTCAGCTGCTGGAGCTCACAGAGCTGGTGGTTGGTGGAGATGATGGAGGTGAGCAGACGTCACACGACCTCATAAACACAGCAAACAGGACGCTGGTTAGAGGCTCTTCATATCTGGAATCATCACGTCTTAGGAACGGTTTCTGCTCCACAGGCTCACATCTGGATGTTTATACAAGATATCTGAGATATTTTAGTGTCAGAGTTTAATCATTTTCTGGATAAATCTTTTTAAAAGTTTCCCATCAGCAGGTTTTCTCTCACAGTGAAATCTGAGTCTGAACAACAACGTCTGAGGAACCGTTAAAGATAAAAACCTGAAACCTTCACAGTTATTTCTCATCATGATCCACAACCTGCACTATTAGAGCTGCACATATACTACAGATATACAAGTGGAAATAAAATCATCGTCTCTGAGGTGCGTTAAGTCTGGATGTGTTGGGCCTGGAGTCTGTTCATGACGTTTTCCATCCTCAGAGACGTCGGCCCAGCTGTCCAGGATCTCTCACACTCTGAGCGTCGTCTTCCCCGGACGTCCCGACCAGCCGAGCGGACTGATCAGAGTCGACGTGGACGCTCCTCCTTCGCCTGAACTCCACGTAAACGTACGATCAGATGGAAGTCAGGAGTCGCCGTGCTGTGTCTCTGTGTTTTAACGTGTTCTTTGATGGATGCTCAGGTTGTCGACGTGATCCTGAGGAGCTTCTGCCAGTGTGTGTTGGACACTTCCAGAGCAAACCCCCCCAGCAAGTGAGTGTTTCAAATTCAAAGTCCTACAAGTGCAATAAAAGATGAGTTTTATCATCGCTAGGACTCACTCTGAGACACGGTTTCTCTCTTCATCTCTAAATAAACTGATCTGTACGTTTAACTCAAGCTAGTAACTGACTCTGTCCCAGAATCATTGCTCTCTGTCGCGTCCTCGTGTCTATAAGATGTTAGTAACTCTATTTATGGTTCATAACTAAAACCCTGGTTCCCTGTACAGCTGTTATTTCACACAGTTCAACTCTCGTCTTCCTTCTGTTGATGCTCTTTAAATGTGTTTAAAAACAAAGAAAATTCTGCAGTCAAGTTCCTTCTACATGTTCCAATAAATCTGATTCTAATCTGATTTTGTTATCAGGTAATCTGCTAATTTCCAGCAAGAATTGTTTGTTTTTAAACTCCACGTGTCTT